CGGGGGACACCCCCGGGGAGGGGACGGGGTGGGGGACGCGCTCACGTATTTCTCCAGGTAGAGCGTGGGGTTGTCCATGAGGGCCTTCACCATGCGCATGAGGTAGATGAGCAGCGCCAGGTTGTTCTGCACCACGTTCACGCGCACCTGGGGGACAGTTGGGGACAGCGCGGTCACCACGGGGCCACCCGTGGTGGCAGGGGTCGTGGTGTCCCCTCATGCTCACCCCCTCGGAGATGAAGGTGCTGAAACGTGGCAGCATCTGGTAGAGGCCGGGGTCGGTGGCGATGCTCTGCAGGGCCTCCTAGGAGGACACGGGGACGTCACTGGAACACGTGGGGACACAGGGGATGTGGGGACGCCGTTGGGGAGGACGCTGGGGACAGCGGAACACCCAGTAGGACATCCCTGGGTGGGCACTGGGACCACGAGGACACCCTTGAGCACAACCTGGGCTCATCGAGATGTCCCTCAGGACAGCAGGACATCCCTGAGGAGGGCACTGGGACCAGGAGGACACCCTTGAGGAGAACCTGGGGTCATCCAGACGTCCCTCAGGACAGCAGGACATCCCCGGGGAGGCGCTGGGGACATGGGGACACCCTTGAGGACAACCTGGGGTCATCGAGATGTCCCTCAGGACAACAGGACATCCCTGGGGAGAGCGCTGGGGACACAGGGATGTCCCTGGTTGGGCTGTGAGGACAGTGGGACATCCCTGGGGTCATTGAGATGCCCCTCAGGACAAGAGGACATCCCTGGGGAGGGCCTGGGGACATGGGGACATCCTTGACAAGAACCTGGGGTCATCGAGACGTCCCTCAGGACAGCAAGACATGCCTGGGGAGGGCGCTGGGGACACGGGGACACCCTTGAGGAGAACCCAGGGTCATTGAGATGTTCCTCAGGACAGCGGGACATCCCTGGGGAGGGCCTGGGGACACCCCTTGAGAAGAACCTGGGGTCATTGAGATGTTCCTCAGGACAGCAAGACATCCCTGGGGAGGGCACTGGGGACACGGGGACACTCTTGAGAACCTGGAGTCATCGAGACGTCCCTCAGGACAGCGGGACATCCCTGAGGAGGGCCTAGGGACATGGGGACACCCTTGAGGAGAACTTGGGGTCATTGAGATGTCCCTCAGGACAGCAGGACATCCCTGGGGAGGGCGCTGAGGACACGGGAACACCCTTGAGGACAACCTGGGGACAGCGAGATGTCCATAGGGAAGGTGCTAGGGACTTAGGAACATGGGGACATCCCTGGAGGAGGGCATTGGGGACACAGGGATGTCCCTGGTTGGGTTGTGAGGACAGTGGAACATCGCTGGGGAGAACCTGGGGTCATTGAGACATCCCTCAGGACAGCAGGACATCCCTGGGACACCCGTGAGGAGAACCTGGGGACAGCGAGATGTCCATAGGGAAGGTGCTGGGACTTAAGGACATAGGAACATTCCTGGAGGAGGGCGCTGGGGACACAGAGATGTCCATGGCTGGGCTGTGAGGACAGTGGGACATCCCTGGCGTCATCGAGACGTCCCTCAGGACAGCAGGACATCCCTGGGACACCCGTGAGGAGAACCTGGGGACAGCGAGATGTCCATAGGGAAGGTGCTAGGGACTTAGGAACATGGGGACATCCCTGGAGGAGGGCGTTGAGGACACAGGGATGCCCCTGGCTGGGTTGTGAGGACAGTGGGATATCCCTGGGGTCATTGAGATGTCCCTCAGGACAGCGGGACATCCCTGAGAAGGGCCTAGGGACACGGGGACACCCTTGTGGAGAACCTGGGTCATTGAGATGTTCCTCAGGACAACAAGACATCCCTGGGGAGGGCACTGGGGACACAGGGACACCCTTGAGGAGAACTTGGGGTCATTGAGATGTTCCTCAGGGAACCAGGACATCCCTGAGGAGGGCCTAGGGACATGGGGACATCCTTGACAAGAACCTGGGGTCATTGAGACGAGGTCCCTCAGGACAGCGGGACATCCCTGGGGAGGGCCTAGGGACATGGGGACACCCTTGAGGAGAACCTGAGGTCATTGAGATGTTCCTCAGGACAGTGGGACATCCCTGGGGAGGGCGCTGGGGACACGGGGACACCCTTGAGGAGAACCTGGGGTCATCGAGAGGTCCCTCAGGACAGCAGAACAACCCTGGGGAGGGCGCTGGGGACACGGGGGCACCCTTGAGGACAACCTGGGGTCATCGAGAGGTCCCTCAGGACAGCAGAACAACCCTGGGGAGGGTGCTGGGGACATGGGGACACCACAGGGGCCACGGGGACACCACGGGGGCCACGGGGCCACCCCGGGGGACACTCACGGCCCGCTTGGCCTCGCAGGAGCCCACGCAGGCCTCCGTGATCTCCTTGTAGTAGAGCTGCTGCTCCACGGAGAGCTCGTGGACGCTGCGCGGCTTGAGCCGCAGCGGGGCCCCCTCCAGCAGCGGTCCCTTCTTGTCCTTCCCTGCGCGGGGACACAGGGCGCTCAGGGGGACACGGGGACACAGGGACGCCCCACGGGGGCAGCCGTCCCATCCTGAGCCCCACGGGGCTCCATAACCTGCCCCATCAGAGCCTCCTGAAGGTCCCACGGAGCTCCAGAAAAGACCACGGAGCTCCACAAACATCTGTTGAGCTCCACGAACACCCCACGGAGCTCCATGAACACCACATAGAGCTCCATAAACACCCCATGGAGCTCCAGAAACGTCCACGGAGCTCCACAAACATCCATTGAGCTCCACGAACACCCCACGGAGCTCCACAAACACCACATAGAGCGCCATAAACACCCCATGGAGCTCCACAAACACCCCACGGAGCCCCTCAAGCACCCCATGGAGCTCCACAAATGTCCATGGAGTTCCACAAACACCCCATAGAGCTCCATGAACACCCCACGGAGCTCCACAAATGTCCACGGAGCTCCACAAATGTCCATGGAGCTCCATGAACACCACATAGAGCTCCATAAACACCCCACGGAGCTCCACAAATGTCCATGGAGCTCCACAAACACCCCACGGAGCTCCACAAATGTCCACGGAGCTCCACAAACACCCCACGGAGCTCCACAAATGTCCACGGAGCTCCACAAACACCCCACGGAGCTCCACAAATGTCCACGGAGCTCCACGAACACCCCACAGAGCTCCACAAATGTTCATGTTGCTCCATGAACACCCTGTGGAGCTCCACAAACACCCCACAGAGCCCCTCAAGTTCCCCATGGAGCTCCACAAATGTCCACGGAGCTCCACAAACACCCCATGGAGCTCCACGAACACCCCATGGAGCTCCGCAAATCTCCATGGAGCCCCTGAGTGCCCCATGGAGCTTCTGCAATGCCCCACAGAGCTCCACGAACACCCCACGGAGCTCCACAGATGTCCATGCAGCTCCATGAACACCCCATAGAGCTCCATAAAAGTCCATGGAGCTCCACGAATACCCCATAGAGCTCCACAAATGTTCACGGAGCTCCACAAATGTCCACAGAGCTCCACAAACACCCCATGGAGCTCCATCATAGACCTCCCCGAACCCCCCATGGAGCTCCACAAATGTCCATGTTGCTCCACGAACACCCCACAGAGCTCCACAAATCTCCATGTTGCTTTACAAACACCCCACGAAGCAACACGAACACCCCACGAAGCTCCACCAACACCCCACGGAGCTCCACCAACACCCCATAGAGCATCCTGGACACCCCACAGAGCCCCACAAACAGCCCACTGAACCCCACAAACACCCCATGGAGCATCCTGGATACCCCACAGAGCCCCACAAACACCTCACAGAGCCCCAAGAACACCCCACGGAGCCCCACAAACAC